TCCCCGTAAGAGATTGTTGTTTCTCGAAAGTAACTAAATAGTTTTACTTACAGTACAAGATTGTTAATATTGCTGGATTATTTGGAGTTTGGTTATTTAATAATTTATAAGAACGTAAACATACAATTATGTTCTTTTAATATTCATGATAAGTTGTCATGTAGGGGGGGGGTCCAAGCACCCTCCACAACCACGTGTACGACCTGACGCCTAGGTCTGAGGCGTCAAGAACAAAAGACCTCAGACGTGGGCGTGGCTACAGACGTTTGCCAAGGCAAGGTGTGACCATATAATTGGTTAAATTAGGTCTCCCCAGAGACCTCACAAGCCCAGCTGGACTACATCACAAAGTGAAGTGTCGCAATGTGTCACATAACCTCCCTGTTGAGTATGGGATTTTAATGTTTAACCTAGTTACTAAGTACGAAAAGAGATTTAGTATATAAATTAAATAAAGATCAGAAAGAAGTGTCAAAAGTCGTTGTTAATTTAACCTTGGTACACCCTAGGTGTTTCCTTCTAGACAGTTATCTAACACAGTTAATATCTAATCTAGTTTCTAGGTACTAGAAGACTTGGTATTCAAACTAGATAAAAAAATGAAAAAACGACTTGGTGCTTATTTCCCCTGAAGTGAAATATAAAAGGTGAACAACAGCTAAGTCATTATTTTCCTGTTACAGCATAAGACCATTGTTTGTAACAGACGGCGATACTTACAAATATTTTGTGGTGTGTTTTGTTGGTCTGTAGCTGACAGCTCCTTCCAGGAAGGTGCCTTAATGCTGCTCAAGGTTCTGGATCTTTGAAATTGGAGTTGCCTTTCACCTTGGTCAAACCTTATTGATTACCTTACTTTCCTGAGACCTCGTAGTACATCAACTGGTGTAATTAACATTGTAATACTACTACTACCAGTAGTACTATTACTACTATTAGTAGTTCTATTACCACCACTAGTACTATTGCTATTATTACTTTTAGTAATACTAGAATAGTAGTTACTATTATATTCTAGTATTACTGACACTACTGTTAGTACTACTACTTGTAGTAGTACTATTCTATTAATACTACTAACACTACTACTAATATTAATTTTATAAGTGCGTGTTACTATAAGCAGATATTACATAAGGAAGTTCTCTTAAGGATGAGGAGCTGTTGCTCAACTGTGGTATCCTGGTATAACACGCGTCAACTGGGGATTATTGCTGAACATTAACCCAGCCTTCCTGAGGCGATGATGTCAGGGTATAGGTAGTGTGTACCTGAGTTTCTTACCCTAGTATGAAGCTGTGCACAATATATAAACTGGTCCACCTAGGAAGTCACTTTGTCACTGTCATTCTCTCTCTCTCTCTCTCTCTCTCTCTCTCTCTCTCTCTCTCTCTCTCCTCTCTCTCTCTCTCTCTCTCTCTCTGTCGCACCACAACTGAATGGTTATAAATATGACCAAGATTTTTAAAGGGGTGGACCGGTAAGCCAGTGGAAGGCCTCGGTCAGATGACCAGAAGCTCCAACGGCGGGTCATCAATCTTAAAATAATGAATCCTATGATACTCCAATACTGAAACTATGTACTGTGCCAAAACAAAAGCATTCACATTGCTAAACTCACAGACTAGTATTTAGTCACTTAGCCATAATACCAACTTACCTCATAATTTGTAATATTTTAAAATAAAGAATTAAACTAAGTCTGCCCGAAATGCCTAGCCATGCTAGGCGTTCTAGTGGTACACTCTGTAATCATTATTTAACTACATGTAAACCACACAACAACCAAATTCTGAAAATTCAACATTGTAATCTTTATAGAGAATAAACTTTGAATTTGAATCTGACTAAGACCCGCGTCAGGAAACACTTGTCCTGTTTCCTGACGAACCTTACCTAACCTAACACCAGGGAATAGCAGTGGATGTCAGGTTATGTATATTGCAGGTTAAAGAGACCGGTCCAGGAGCTATAGACATAACTCTGAGAGAACACACACACACACACACACACACACACACACACACACACACACACCTCCAACACCGTGTGTTGCAGGTAAAGAGGCGGGTCCAGGAGCTGTAGACAAGTCTGAGAGAACACATACCACCAAAACCGGAAACATTCAACTTTACACATTATCCTAAGTGTTGATACAAAAGTATAACTAAATGTCATACTGCCATGACTCTTAAGTCATGATCTCTACTGTTGTTTCCAAGCACTTATAAAGTTTCATGATACATTACTTGAATGATTACCAAAAACTTATGACTTCTTGAAAGCCTCTTTAAGTTTTCGTAGTTCATGGGTGATAAAAGGGGACAAGAGCTAGACTGTGCTGTGTGTTGCACCACTGTGGGTTGCTCTCTGGAAAAATGTCGCAGTTGGTGGCCTCTGCAACTCTAATGCTAGTGTGCGGAGGGTTGAAGAGCACTCTCCTAGGGTAGTGCTGGCCCTCCCTCATTTTCGGACTGATCGAATCTCCGAAAAACCTGTACATTATTACCAAATCGTTAATAAAAACAGTTTTAGGTTAGAAAATTTAAGTTCCAATGAACGAGGTTACCAGATTTGTGTACAGTACTCTCAGTACACTTAACACATTTTCGATTTTTTAAATATTTTAGTAAATAAGGTAGCAACATCATAGCAGGTGCTTAAGTTATGAAGCCATACCGTGGTACGTTCAGTGTCATAATGTTGAATGTGAGAGACCAGCCAGGTTGTGAGAGCCGCTAGCAGCAATAGTCTCCTTGACCAGGCAGTCAATTCTGTGGGTAGGAGAACTCTTGAAACTGGCCACAGGTATGTGGGATACTATAAAACAGGAATGAAGACCGCAGCAGGTCTACTGATCCATGCTAGGCAGGTCTAACTCACGCTCGCGTACCATCATTGTTCATAACAAATTTGTTATGAATCAGTAGGGGTCGTACAGTGCCTGAGAAATGGTAAGTAATCACGATTGATCCACGGAAGGGGAATATAGCAGCTGTTATTATAGCTGCTATAGTTCCTTGGATCATAGATCTTCAGCAGCATTGTGGCTGCCCTTCCTTCAAGGTAGTGAGTTACAAACACTGCCACCACTGTTGACAGTGGTATGAAGTACCGACAAGTGTTGGTGTAGTGGTGGTGGTGAACATCAAAATGGCATACAATACCGACAGGTTGGTAGGTAAGACACATAGGCAACAGTTAGGCAACTTTATTCCGAAACGTTTCACCTACACAGTAGGCTTTTTCAGTCGAATACAGAAAGTAGGCAGGAACAGTAGAGATGTGAAGACGATGTAATCAGTCCATCACCCTTGAAGTCGTAGAATTTGAGGTTGTCAGTCCCTCGGCCTGGAGAAGTTCAGTTCCATAGTCAGGAACTGAACTTCTCCAGGCCGAGGGACTGACAACCTCAAATTCTACGACTTCAGGGGTGATGGACTGATTACATCGTCTTCACATCTCTACTGTTCCTGCCTATTTTCTGTATTAGACTGAAAAAGCCTACTGTGTAGGCGAAACGTTTCGGAATAAAGTTGCCTAATTGTTGCCTATGTGTCTTACCTACCAGTGGTGGTGTGTTGGTGTAGTGGTGGTGTGTTGGTGTAGTAGTGGTGGTGTGTTGGTGTATAGTGGTGGTGTGTTGGTGTAGTGTTTTGGTGTGTTGTGTAGTGTGGGTGGTGTGTTGTGTAGTGGTGGTGGTGTGTTGGTGTAGTGGTGGTGGATGTGTTGGTGTAGTGGTGGTGGTGTGTTGTGTAGTGTGGTGGTGTTGGTGTAGTGGTGGTGGTGTGTTGGTGTAGTGGTGGTGGTGGTGTGTTGGTGTAGTGTGGGGGTGGTGTGTTGGTGTAGTAGTGGTGGTGTGTTGGTGTAGTGGTGGTGGTGGTGTGTTGGTGTAGTAGTGGTGGTGGTGTGTTGGTGTAGTATGTGGTGTGTTGGTGTAGTGGTGCTGCTGTTGCTCGTACTTCCAGTGATGGTGTTGGGGTCGTGGTGGGTGGGTGCTAGAGTCGTAGTGGTAATGTTCTGCTTCTCCTGTTGGCGGTGGTTGCAGTGGTAGTGGAGTTGCTTGTAATAGTAGAAATTACTTAATTTTAGTTTAACCTGCTTGGATAGACTGTGTGTGCTGCTACTTTATTCAGATAAGTAAGTTGTAGTGGAAACAAAAACTAGCTTATCTTTCCTGTTATCTTGCATAACACAGTATAGATTGTACGTGTGTGTGAGATAATGAACTAAAGGAATTTGAATTTGAACTCCCCAAGTCTGAACTGGGAAACTTAAGTAGAGTAATGGTGGTATCGTTTAACATTTTTCTGTGGGTTTAGCAACTAGGGCAGCTTCAGGTGAAGCATTTGTTACGTGGGACTGACCATCTCTCCCACTGGACTAAACCACGCTGATTTTTTTTGTTTGTAATGAATAGATCACCAGTTCTTTTGGAAGGGAAAGTGGGGGGAGAGGGTCTTTTCAAGAAGAAAGTGTATTGATATTTATAGGTCTGTGTATCATATATTGCACTCAGTGGAGTTTTTAGTCGTGGTCCAGGCCTTTCACTGGTTACTGGTATACTCTGGAAACAGGGACGGCACTAATGGGGGGCTGAGACCCCCAACACCTCCATTACCCCCCTCAACCCCCCCCAATAACAGCAATAATAAAGGTATGTAAAGTAAAAGGACACAAGTGCAACTAATGTGACATTTTGTGGCACGTTTCGCTCTCCAGGAGCTTTATCAAGCTTGATAAACTCCTGGAGAGCGAAACGTTGCCACAATAAATGTCACATTAGTTGCACTTGTGTCCTTTTACTTTACATATTGTCGGTAATTCTACCAACTTTATTACAATAATAAAGGTGCTTTAAGCCTAAATCACAGCCTCCTCTTCCAAGCTGATTACAACTTCCTTGCGGCCCTCCCTCCCCCCCAAGTAACATCTCTGGAGCAGCTCCTGCCTGTGAAAATATCGAATTTGTGTGTTCTCACCTTGTGCACAACTTTCAGACTGGCAACAAGAAAGAGGCGGAGAAGTTGGTAAAGAACATCATCAAGATCGTTGTTAAGATCAACATTCTGTACCGCAATGAACAGTTCTCTCAGGAGGACCTCAGGGTCGCCAACCAGGTGAGTCAGGCTAAGCCCAGTTATTCTCCACAGCATCCCCACAGTTACTGAAGATAAAAATACAGCAAATACTTTACTTGTACTTTATTATGTACTAGATAAAGCCCAACATTGGGCTTTATCTAGTACATAAAATACTTGACAAAGTCAAATATTGGATGAAACATAGTACTTATTAAAGGGCTTCACAGTTTTTGTGTATTTTTCACTATCATTTATTCTTGTGAGCTGATGCTCGCCGTGTTTGCGGTATTAACTGCTGGATCCCTTTAACGTGAACTTGCTACATGTGTGTGTGCGCCACCTCAGTGTATTCTCATGTCAATGTGTGTGGTTATGGAACTCTTATTTTTTTTTCTTTGCTAAGCATCAATGGAAACAAAAATTATGCAAATGTATTATCTTAGAAAACAGCAGTTCTTCTGTGAGTCACTGATTATATACAATATAAGCAAACTCGAGACTTGCTGGAAGTTATGGCCTGTGTAAAAGGCCAAGAAAATTTCAGTCCTGCGGGAAATACTCAAGTGAAAAGTTTTTGAATGGTGTTTTCGCCTCTGACCTGTTCATTGTCTGGCCTTGTGGATTGTGTAATGAGTTCGGTAAAGACTTGCTCGTCCACAGTCACTCGCCTACCTTCATAACAAATTGACATTACGTGTAGAGGCATCCCTCGTTTAACGTTCCTCAAAAATCCTTCGTATCAGCGAAATTCTTTGGCAAAACCTCATTTTCCCCACATGATATCATTATATGAAATAAATACACATTTTTGGGGGGAAAATGAATACAATACAATGGAAACTCTACTTACGAGATTAATCCACTCCATGACCTTGCTCGCATCTGGATTTGCTTGTTTGCAGAGTCAATTTTCCTCATTGAAATTAATTGAAATGGAATTAATTCGTTCCAGTGAATTCCAGGCATGAGAAAATACTTCAACAATTTCCCTAATATCAACTCTACAGCTTATTTATCTATCATAATTCATGTAATATGACATAAACAATATTAATAACATAGAAATATGATATGTACACTAGAATTAATAAAATACATATCATTACATATGTGACTAGTGGTGGTGACAGCAGCCATTGTTGTTGTTGGGGTTTATAAGGCCACCACAGCAGCCATTCCTGCTCCAGACTACATGTGTAGAGAACCTAGGATAACCCAAAAAAGTCAGAGTGATTTATAATACTACACTCTTAATGCTACACTTAATTGCTACACTCTTAATGCTACACTTTGCCACTGCTACCTCATGATGTCTGCTACTGCTGCTTCATGTTGTCTGCCACTGCTACCTTATGATGTCTACTCTCACTTTTGCTAGTGTGTTGAAGAGCTTTCCAATATGTGAAGGTTGAGGAGCAGTGCCGATCGGACAGGTATTGGATGGTGACGTCATTAGTTTCCTCTTGAACATCACCAAAGAATCGAACATTTCTGCTACTTTGAGCTCAATTTCAAGGTACTTTTCATCGTGAAACCAATAAAAATCATATCTTCCATTCTATCTAATGAGACCAAAAATACGAGAATACATCAATAAAAACCATATGAAAATATACCGCTAATGGGAGGCTAATGGCTGAGAAGTGAACTCCATTATTTATGGTCCAATTTCTTTCATTTTTGGTGTATGCTAAGAAGCATCTTTCCATCATACGTTGCCCAAGTTTCAATAAGATAGTCCAACAAACAACTGAGATCCAGTTCCCTAGATCAAGAGCAAGAGCCTCTCACCAGGATCGAGGAACTTCCCTTGAGGCCCGCTCGCATCTGGAAATTTCACTCGCGTCTGGAAGCAAAAAATCGAAAGAGCGACTGCTTGTATTCAGAAAAACTCGCATGTAGACGTACTCGTAAGTAGAGGTTCCACTGTACTATATTAAAAAAATGCATGTTAAAGCACATTTTGATGGAAGCATCACGTTCCAGTGGTACATGCCAGGCGGATTAGCAGTGAGGAAAGTGCATTGAGCATGTATTCTTAATATATGTTAATGATCTCCCAGAAGAAATCATTCTTATTTGCTCCTGTTTGCTATTATGTAAAGATGGCGAGAGAATTAAAAATATAGAAGGACAGGGACAGACTCCAGGAAGGCTTTGGGAGGATAAATCAGTGGCAAGCCAAATGGCTAATCGAGTTTGACACGAACAAGTGCAAGGTCATGAACACTAGAGCTATCCTTTCCCTCTCCAGACATTTCATAGCCTGAATCTAGGGATGGTTAACTAACAATTAACAGATAGCGAATATATCAGAGGGATAACCTTGGTGACATTTGTATGACTAACAGAACATTTAAGAAAACAGCTGTACATGATGTATTCAGTGCTGTTGTTGAACCTATGGGTTTAGTGCTTAGTTATTCTTATAATAATTCTGTACATGATGTACATAATTTATTTATTTATTTATTTATTTATTTTGTCTTTGCAAACAGTACATTGAGATTTTATATTTACAATAGTGGGTTGCAATGCAAGGAGAGCCTCTATTACGCCTTGACATTATGGGCCAACTTAACATTATTGGCTTACAGACTACTTAACACTACGGATTATATCATAGTTGCACAGTAGGATAGTAATTATTTCATAGTTGAACAGTTGATTATTAATTATAAGTGAATCCTTCATGTGTTAGCCCAAATCACCGACCAGTACGTTTAAATAAGTGACCCACTGATCAGATCAGACTGGTTCCGAACCCTTGACTGGTCGAACCCTCGACTGGTCCGAACCCTTGACCGGTTTCAAATGAATTCGTTGGACAATAAAGCAGACTGTTAACGGATGGAGTTGTAGGTGCCCTTATCAAACACAAACAATAAATATAAAATCAGGAACGTACACCGGTAAGCTGTACTAATATACAAGTACAGTTAGAAATAGAAATACAAATAACTAGAGCTTCACTTTAAGGAGGTTATTAATAGAGTATTCAAGAGGTTGCTAGTAGAATTACAGTAAATCAACCATTCAAATCATTATGAAGCTCTGTGTAGTCTGCAGTCAATCAAACAAACAGGCTTCCACATGGATAAATTCATTTTTGTGGAATTTGGTGTCATGCCAAGAACTAGCTACAAGCAGTATAAAATCAGGGAAGTGTTTTTGGATATGCCCAAATGAGATCAATCTGTGGACTAAAATCACATTGGTATTAAAAGAGGATAACATCAAAGCTGCTTTCATAGACAACCTGGAAGCATTCTACAACAGATGGGAACATAAAAAGTCTGGGCTGGATGGTACCGCGCTTGATGCTGGCCATGTAGTCAGAAACTGTAAGGCTGGAGGTGCTGTCCTGGTAGTCAGTAAATGGGCTGATAGTGCTGTCCTGGGAGACAGTAATGGTGTGGTGAAGCTGGAGGTGCTGTCCTGGGAGACAGTAATGGTGAAGCTGGAGATTTTGTCCAGGTAGTTGGGAAATATACGCAGGAGGGAATGCATACAAATGACCTCATGGGAGACAGGAGCTGTAGTGGGGAAACAAGTGTAGTCAAAGATAAGATAAAACCAATATTGCAAACTAGTAATACCACGGGAAATGGCAAACAAGAGGACTCCACTAGCAATAGTGAGGATATATTACCAAAAACAACTGGTTAGAGCTCCATTGTTGGTGCTAGTGAGGATAGGAATAAGACAGGTAAACATGCACCAACAGGGAATACAGTCACAGAAACCCAAGGCAAACGGAAACCAAGCCTGTGCACATACTATGCACTTGGTATCTGCAGGCATGGGAATCTGGAAAAACAGATGGGACATGCAACTATGACCACCCTAGAAAATGCCGTGCCCACATGACAACAGGAAAATGCAAACTCCCTTCCTGTAAGCTTTTTCACCCTGAAATGTGTACCTCTTCAGTACAGGAAAGACTGTGCTATAACTTAAATTGCCAGGCACACCATCTAAAGGGGACAAAAAGATACAAAACATCCAGGCCATGGGAAAACCTGGGTAGCCACAGCCACTCAAAAGGGAGAGGTTTTTTAGTTCCAGGAAGGAAAAAAAACTGGCAGGAAATGGCAGAAATCATACACCAAATCCAATCATTCCTGGAGTGGAACCACAGTCGATGGCCTCCACTCCAAACCAACAGATACAGATACTAATGCCGGAAAAAAAAAAAATTCCCCCCCCTCCCCCCCATGCACTCTGCCCCAGGCCAGACTCATGGAACTCTGTGTTCATCAAGAACTGCAAGAAGCCCCTATCACGAGCCTTTTCCATCCTATGGAGAGGGAGCATGGACAACGGGGGTCGTCCCACAGTTACTAAAAACAACAGACATAGCCCCACTCCACAAAGGGGGCAGTAAAGCAACAGCAAAGAACTACAGACCAATAGCACTAACATCCCATATCATAAAAATCTTTGAAAGGGTCCTAAGAAGCAAGATCACCACGCATCTAGAAACCCATCAGTTACACAACCCAGGGCAACATGGGTTTAGAACAGGTCGCTCCTGTCTGTCTCAACTATTGGACCACTACGACAAGGTCCTAATGCACTAGAAGACAAAAGAATGCAGATGTAATATATACAGACTTTGCAAAAGCCTTCGACAAGTGTGACCATGGCGTAATAGCGCACAAATGCGTGCTAAAGGAATAACAGGAAAAGTCGGTCGATGGATCTATAATTTCCTCACTAACAGAACACAGAGAGTAGTCGTCAACAGAGTAAAGTCCGAGGCAGCTACGGTGAAAAGCTCTGTTCCACAAGGCACAGTACTCGCTCCCATCTTGTTCCTCATCCTTATATCCGACATAGACAAGGATGTCAGCCACAGCACCGTGTCTTCCTTTGCAGATGACACCCGAATCTGCATGACAGTGTCTTCCATTGCAGACACTGCAAAGCTCCAGGCAGACATCAACCAAATCTTTCAGTGGGCTGCAGAAAACAATATGAAGTTCAACGATGAGAAATTTCAATTACTCAGATATGGTAAACATGAGGAAATTAAATCTTCATCAGAGTACAAAACAAATTCTGGCCACAAAATAGAGCGAAACACCAACGTC